GCTGAGCAACAACATAGCTACATGCAGGGTCCAAGCGTGCCATAGGCTAGAGACCATTCTCAAAGCTTCTCCTGATATACAGGAAGCAGACCACATCCCTAAGGCAGCTACTCAGATGCTTGTGGTAGATCCCACATGGAGTTGATTGCCAATCTCATCATGGGGAATAACTACCACCAGCTGCCCAGCCACTCAACCAGGCCCAGCCAAGTTGACACACAAATATAACTACCACAACTGGTATCTTTTCTGAATAAAATTTTCAAATATTGTATATTGTCTCTTTTTGATTCAATTTGTTAAATTAACAGATAAGCCTTGAGCATACTTAAAGACCCAGCAGCAATGTTCCTGCCCTCGTGGAGCTTACATTCTAGTCAATATCAGTTTTGGTATGCCTATTATTATACTTTTATTAATAACCAGATCAAATTATTCTTCCCAAAGGCTAGCTCTTGAGTGATATCTCATAAATTCCAAATTTCTGACTGAAGCCACTACTGTACAACTTATAAAAGTTCTCTGACGTGTTTTACTGAAAGTCAACTTTAATAAAACTAATTTTTTTCTCTTCTATGAGACCAGATGATTACAAAAATTTAGGTTGGATATGAATTTTTAAAAGCCTTCATTATGTAGAATTCGTTCTTGCAAGGATTCTCTGATGTTCTTACCACTATTATCACTTTCAGAAAATTTATCACCAGCTTGGATTTTGTAATTTGTAAGATTATATGTCCAACTGAAGTTCTTATTACAAATCTCATACTACCGTTTCTCCCTAGTGTGAATTCTCTGTTGGGGTTGTAGTTATGAAGATTGAATGAAGACTTTACTACATACATCACATTTGTATGGTTTCTCTCCAGTATGGACACATTCATGATGTTAACTACTTGAGGTGTGATTGAAGTACTTACCACAATCCCCATACTAAAATGGTTTCTCACCTATGTGGACCTTTTGATACGTGTCAAGAGTCTTGCTCCTCTTGAAGCCCTTCTCACATATTCATCTGGCTTTTCTTCATTATGGACTCTTTAATGGGCTTGAAGATGTGAATTCTGACAAAAGTTCTTCCCACATTTTTCACATTTGAAGGGTTTTTCTCCACTGTGGACTCTGATGAGGCAAAAGTTGTGAAGCATGCTTGAAGCCCTTCCCACACCTGCCACATTTATAGGATATTTCTCCTGTGTGGATTCTACAATGAATGTAAAGATTTGGGCTAGTACTGAAGTACTTCCCACATTCTTCGCATTTGAATGATCTTTCTCCACGGTATACTCTCTTATGAGTCAAAAGATATGCAGCCTGCCTGAAACCCTTCCCACACTCCTCACAATTACAGGATTTCTCTCCTGTGTGAATTCTGTAATGAATTTGAAGATCTGCTCTATGACCGAAGCTCTCCTCTTATTCTTCACATTTGTATGGTTTCTCACCAGTATATATCACTTCATGAACTTGAAGTCTTGAACTTGCCCATACTCCTCATGCATTTTTTCTATATTGTCAATAGTCTGATAGACTTTAAGTAATATCCCTTTTTATAAATCCCAATGTAATGGGTTTGTTTGTTTGTCCCATCAGAGAACTACAATGCTACCTCATACTCATTTTATAATCCTGATCGCAGATCTTGGCCCTGTACTATTGTGCCTTTCTCCATTTCCTTTATATGAATTCATCTTTCATACCCAAAGTCTGCTTTTTACTTGAATTTCTGTCTGTATTGTTGAATTGCATTCTCTTCATTAATTTCTGATTTGTCAAGATCACTTTTAAATTTTATTTTCGTCCTCCAGAGTACTGACAATCTCACCTCATTTATTATCATCCCTTTTTTCTCTGTTTTGGAGGAAAACTCCCTGTAGTCTGTGTACTATGATACACAAGTACACAGGTTACAAGGGTGGTGCCATATTTTCTTCCTGTAGCACAGCAACAGTTTCCAGTTACATATCAGACAGAGTATCACTGCTATTCATAAGGTTTTCACTGGTCAGCTCTTTGAGAAGTGGATGGTTCCTTCCTTCTTCCAAGTCTATCTTAGTCTGGAAGCTCCACTGAAAAGTATCCACCATGGAGACTCGAAGGCACCTAAAACAACAACAACAACAACACAGCGACATACCCAGAGAAGGAGCCATAATGTCTACAGAGCAGCAGCTGGTGATATTCTGAAGGAGCTTGGCCTTTTAGCCACACCTATGAGCAGCAGGAGCTCTGGTAGCATAATGCCTAAGGCACTTGACTGCCAACCAGAAGGCTGGCGGTTCAAACCCACCAGCCACTCCTCAGAAGGCAGGTTGGGCAATCTACTTCCATAGTGATACTGCCTCAGAAACCCAAGGAGGGGTCGCTATGAGTCAGGGTCAACTTGACGGCACATAACAACAACAACAACCAGCAGCAGGAGTAGTCTCCACCCCCAGCAAAAAAATAATGATCTTCAAACCACAGGACCCTATCAATAATCTCAGATGTCTGTCATAAAATCTAATTTGCAATACAACTCAGAGCACAGATTGAAAAATCACCCAGGCTGGCCCAGCTTCTCTCTAAAAAGGGGCCATAGCCTATGCAGACTCTCTTCTCCACTAGAGGTCACTCTGCTTTCCAGGTTATAACACCTGGGGCACAGTCTGAATCTTTTGTAAGAATGAGTAACAATTAAAGTGACTTATTTGACTCAAAAATTAGGTACTAAAAATAGTACATATTAGAGGTGAGGAAGTGCAGAGACAAACCTTGACCAAGAGGCCAAACAAAGGCTAGAGTGCCAGAAGCCTTGGTTATTGCACTGTAAGAGTAGAGGGGATTGTAAAACAGAGGCCATGGGGAAGGGCTGGCTCAAGTTTTGTGGGACACCAGCAAAAGAAAACTTCACAAAGAAAGAGCAATTGTCATATTGCATTCTCAATCAATAGATAAATTGTTTACATGTTTTAAAAACAAACCCACTATTGAGTCAATTCAGACTCATGGCATCCCTATGTGTTACTGTTCCATAGGGTCTTCTTGGCTATAATCTTTAGAGAAATAGATCATCAGGCCTCTCTTACACAGTGCTTCTGGGTGGGTTTGAACCACCAACCTTGAAGTTAGTAGTCAAGAACAAATCTTTGTGCCACACAGGTGTCTTAAATTACTTAATAACAAAACAAAAAAATCCAGTTCAACTGCCTTTGAGTCAGTTCCGACTCATTTCGACCCCTCCTTGGGTTTCCGAGGCGGTATCTCTCCAGGAGTATATTGCCCGGTCTTCCTTCTGAGAAGCAGTTGGTGGTGGGTTTGAATTGCCAGCCTTCTGGTTAGCAGTCAAATGCCAAAAGTATAAATTTTAGGCCATGAGTTCAGCTGTGCAAGAGATGTTACTTGCTTTGTTATCCAGAACTGAACCTTAATTTCTATTCTGAACTGTGTACCACTGGATAGTAGAAACTAAATCTGACCATTGATGCTCTCCCATCCCCAGAGCTCCAGGGTCTCCTTGGTTCCTGCACTTAGATGGGGTGGGGTGTATACATATGGCAGGAGTCACCATCACCTATCCACACTGTCTTCTGCAAAGAAATTTGTCATTCTGTCTCATTCGTAATCCTTGTTCTGAGCAGGTGACCCCTGGTTCTCTCCATGCCAACTGCAGGATTTCTTCAGATCTGCCCTCCCTCCACCCCCAGTTTCTTCTAAGAGAACATGCTGGGGCAACTAAGACTCTTCACCTTCTCTGTGCTGTGTTCAGGGGCAAATGACCACTGTGAGGTTCTCTTGGACCTCTTGCCAAAATCTTCTGGCAGACTTTTTTGCCATAGAGCCCTTGCACTGAGGGGTTCTCTAAGATTTCCTGGGGCCCTTCCATTTTCCTGAGTTTCATTCTGAAACGAAGTATGTGTCACCTCTACTCTGGGATCCCCTGACTCCATGGAGTTTCTGTATGTGGACACACTTACACATACAGCTTGGGTTCATGTACTTACACACACACCAGCGCAGAGCTTATTTTCAGACACCTTCCAGAAAATAATCTCTTTCTTCTAGTTCTAGTTGGAGGAGGTGGCAGTGCTGAGGGTTTATGGTATGCTTTCTGTTACTAAACATTCTTCAAAAATGTTTCTTTATATCATAAATTTTATGTTCCCAGTTATTCAAGATGGAGGCTTCTGAAACTCAAAAGCCTAGCTTAAAGACTTATCTCTGTTTTTCTTATGAATCATCACTCCCCTGGGGGCAATGAATGTTAATGACTGAATAAGAGCCTTAGTGTCACAGTGGTTAAGTGCTCGGCTACTAACTGAAAGGTTATAAGTTCATACCCATTAGCTGTTCTGCGTAGAAAGATGTGGCAGTCTGTTTCCATAAAGATTTACAGGCTTAGAAATACTATAGGGCAGTTCTACTCTGTCCTATAGGGTCCCTATGAATTGGAATTGACTCAGTGTTGATGGGTTTGGTTTTGGTTTGGAGGAAACGATGAGAGGAGAAACCCCAGGTATTATCTCAAAACCTTCTCCAACCATACTTTCAAAAGAAGAAAGAGATGACTATGAAACTAACTAAATCAGATCACTTAGCTTGAAGGTTTTAGGAATTACCAGTTTGCAGAAAACTAAGGGTCATGTTTGCATGTTCCATACAACATATGCTATGGGGAATTCCAGGCAATAGTAAATTATCTATCTCAACAGACAGCACAGGACCAATGAGGACCAGGCAGGCTCCTCTGCTCTGGAGTTAAGTTTCCTCAATTTTCACATGCCTTCAAGTTAAAACCAGCCAGATCCTGTGAACTTTTAATTTCCTTATTGTTTATTTTATCATTTTCTTGGCATAAGTGGTTTTGTGGTTGGAATTTTCATCTGACTCATTTTATATAATAATCCTGTAATTGAGAGCATGCACGCCTAAGAAACCCCCATGGGACAATAATACTTTCTGCTCTCTATATTATAAGCTGTGTGTGTGTAAGAATTATTCAAACTTCAACCTTTTTGCAGATGGCTACGAGTTTCTGGAGATCCTGAAACAGGTTGCCAGGGACAATACCGACAACCCTGACCTGAGCATCGTGTGGATCGACCCGGATGACTTTCCTCTGGTGAGCAGCTCAGGCCAGGGCCCCATCCTTGGCCCTTATCACAGCCCAATGTTTGTGTTGACTGTGAAGCATGGAGGCCAAGTAGATAGGAGCACTAATAGAAAACCAGTGAGCACCCTCACCAAGTATGCATAGAGATGATTGGCCATTGGCAGAGCTTTGAACTTTTTACCTGGTTACTGTTCTCACTCTCTAGGGACCAGAAGGTGGAGACCTTCTGAGGGGCCCAGCCAGGTAAGCTGGGTAAATTTCATCTGGCAAGAGGTACCTAGCTATGCCTCTCTTCAGCACAATTGCTTCCCATAGCCTCCTTCGTTTTCTGGGTTGTTGTTTTTAGCTGCCTTTGAGTTGGCCCCAAAGCGCGGCAACCCCATGCATAAAGAAATAAAATGGTGCCCAGTCCTGTACCATCACCACAATCGATTTGCTGATTGGATTACTGTGATCCATAGGATTTTCCTCAGCAGATTTTCAGAAGTAGGTCACCAGGCCTTTATTCCTAGTCCATCTTTGTCTGGAATCTCCACTGAGACCAGCTCAGCCTTCACTGATATTTGGGTACTGGCTGCACATGAGATACATTGCCCAGGAATTGAACCTGGGTCTCCTGAAAAAAGAAAAAATTGCCCCCTCATTTTCTGGGTAGATACCATAATTCTGAGGCAATGTGAGTGACTAAAGATGAACATTAAAACAAAAAACGAACATTTTGCATAGAGTTAAAAGAACTTTGCAAAAAGAAGGAGTAAGCTCTTTGAAGGCAAACACTGTCTGTCTTGTTCATCATTTTCTCCCCTAGACCTAGCATAGTATCTTCTTGTTGTTGTTGTTATGTGCTGTTGAGTTGGACCCGACTCATAGCGACCCCTCCTTGGGTTGCTGAGGCAGTATCACTACGGAAGTAGATTGCCCCATCTTCCTTCCAAGGAGTGGCTGGTGGGTTTGAACTGCCAGCCTTCTGGTTAGCAGTCAAGTGCCTTAGATCTAGCACCTGCTGAATATGCAAGAACATTAATAGTTTCAAGACCAAATTATCTTCTGCTTTGAACTTTTTGTTGAAACCGTGTGTTTTCAATAATGGAAAGCATTTTGAATGAAATGAAAAAAAAAATTTTTGAAGTAATATGAGTTTTGATACAATTAGTAGGACACATATGTCCCAAGTGGTCTCTGGTGCTAAGTTTGATTGGATGATGTCTATTTCTTTAGACTTATGCAGTTATGGAGGCCCCCATCAGATGGCTGTTGTCATTGTTAGGTGCCCTCCATTTGGTTCTGACTCACAGAGCATATTATGTACAACAGAACAAGACACTGCCTCGTCCTGTACCACCCTCACAATCATTGTTATGCTTGAGCCCATCACACAGCCACTGTGTCAATCCATCTCATTGAGGGTTTCCCCTTTTTCACTGACCCTCTACTTTACCAAGCATGATGTCCTTCTCTAGGGAATAGTCCTTTCTGACCACATGATCAAAGTGCATGAGATGAAGTCTGGCCACTCTTGCTTCTAAGGAGCATTCTAGCTGTACTTCCTCCAAGATAAATTTGTTCATTTTTCTGGCAGTCCATGGTACTTTCGATATTCTACAGCACCACAACTCAAATGCATCAATTCTTCTTTGGTCTTCTTTATTCATTGGCCAACTTTCACATACATATGAGGCTATTGAAAATGCCATGGCTTGGGTTAGGCATACCTTAGTCTTCAAAGTGACATCTTTGCTCTTCAATACTTTAAAGAGGTCTTTTGCAGCAGATTTGCCTGTTGCAATACATCATTTGATTTCCTGACTGCTGCTTCCATGCAGGTTGATTGTGGATCCAAGTAAAATGAAATCCCTGACAACTTCAATTTTTTCTCCATTTATCATGATGTTGCTTGTTGGTCCAATAGTGAGGATTCTTGTTTTCTCTGTGTTGAGGTGTAATCCATACTGTAGGTTGTGGTTTTTGATCTTCATCTCAAAGTGCTTCAAGTCATCTTCACTTTCAGCAAGCAAGGTTATGTCATCTGCATATCACAGGTTGTTAATCAGTCTTCCTCCAATCCTGATGCCATGCTCTTCTTCATAAAGTCCAGCTTCACTGATTATTTGCTCAGTTATAGATTGATTAAATATGGTAAAATGATACAATCCTGACATACATCTTTCCTGATTTTAAATCATGCAATATCCCCTTGTTCTTTTCAAACGACTACCTCTTTGTTTATGCACAGGTTCCTCATGACCACAATTAATATTATGGACTTCCCATTCTTTGAAAAGTCATCCATAATTTGTTAGGATCCACACACAGTAGAATGCCTTTGCACCGTCAATAAAACACAGGTAAACATCTTTCTGGTATTCTTTGCTTTCAGCCAAGATCCATCTGACATCAGCAAAGATATCCCTTATTCCATGCCCTATTCTGAATCCGACTTGAATTTCTGGCCATTCCCTGTCAATACACTGCTGCAACCATTTTTGAATTTTCAGCAAAATTTACTTGTTTGTGATATTAATGATATTGTTCAATAATTTTTGCATTTTGTTGGATCACTTTTCTTTGGAATGGGACACAAATATGGATCTCTTCCAGTTGGATGGCCAGGTAGCTGTCTTCCAAATTTCTTAGAATAAATGAGTGAGCAGCTCCATCATTGCATCCATTTGTTGAAACACCACAATTGCTATTCAGTTAATTCCTTGAGCCTTGTTTTACCACTTCCTTCAGTGCACCTTGGACTTCTTTCTTTAATACCATCCATTCTTGATCATATACTACCACCTGAAATGGCTGAACACTGACCAATTCCTTTTGGTACAACGACTCTGTGTATTCCTTCCATTGCCTTTTGATGCTTCTTATGTTGTTCAATATTTTGCCCATAAAATCCTTCAATATTGCAACTTGAGGCTTGAATTTTTCTTCAGTTCTTTAAGCTTGAGAAATATCAAGCTCCCTTTTTGGTTTTCTAATTCTGTGTCTTTACACATTTCATTATAATACTTTACTTTATGTTCTGAAACCACCCTTTGAAATTTTCTATTCAGCTCTTTTATTTCATCATTTCTTCAATTCTCTTCAGATACTCTCCATTCAAGAGCATGTTTCAGAGACTCTTCTGACATCAAATTTGATTTTCTCTGTTTCCTGTCTCTTTAACAACCTTTTGCCTTCTCCATGTCTGATGTTCCTGATGTCATCCCACAACTCATCTGGTATTTGGTCATTAGTATTCCATGCATCATATATATTCTTCAGATGGTCTCTAAATTCAGATAGAATATATTCAAGGTCAGATTTTGGCTGTCTTGGAGTTGTTTTAATTTTCTGCATATTCAACTTAAACTTGCATATGAGTAATTGATGGTCTGTGCTATAGTCACCTCCTGGCCTTGTTTGACTGATGATATTGAGCTTTTCCACTGTCTTTTCCATAGATGTAGCAGATTTGATTCCTGTGTGTTCCATCCAAAGAGGGCCATATGTATAGTCACCATTTATGTTGTTGAAGAAAGCTATTTGCAATGAAGAAGTCATTGATTTTGCAAAATTCTATCATGTGCATCATTTCTTCCACCAAGGCCATATTTTCTAAATACTGCTGCTTCTTATTTCCAACTTTGGCATTCCAACCACCAATAATTATCAATACATCTTGATTGCATGTTTGGTCAATTTCAGACTGCAGAAGTTGGTAAAAATCCTCAATTTCTTCATTGCTGGCTTTAGTGATTGGTGAGTAGATTTAAATAATAGTATTAACTGGTCTTCCTTGTGGTTGTTGTTATTGTTATGTGCCTTCGAGTTGGACCCAACACATAGTGACCCCTCCTTGGGTTTCTGAGGTGGTATCACTACGGAAGTAGATTGTCCAACCTTCCTTCTGAAGAGTGGCTGGTGGGTTTGAATTGCCAGCCTTCTGGTTAGCAGTCAAGGGCCTTAGGCACTACACTATCAGAGTTCCTGGTCTTCCTTGTAGGAGTATGAATAGCATCCTATCACTGACAGCATTGTACTTCAGGATAGATCTTGAAATGTTCTCTTTGATAATGATTGTGATGCCATTCCTTGTTAATTTGTCATTCCCAGTATAGAATACATTATGGCTGTCTGATTCAAAATGGTCAATATCAGTCCATTCAGCTCACTGATGCCTATAATACTGATAAATATCAGTATGTATTCTATTTCATTTTTGACAATTTTCAATTTTCCTAGATTCATAGTCTGTACATTCCATATTCCAATTACTAATGGATATTTGCAGCTATTTCTTCTCATTCTGAGTCTCACCATATCCGTAAACAAAGGTCCTGAAAGCTTTATTCCATCCGTGTCATTAATGTTGACTCTACTTTGAGGCAGCAGCTCTTTCCCAGTAATATTTTGAGTGCCTTCCAACCTGAGGGGTTCATCTTCCACTATATCAGTCATGTTTCACTGCTGTTCACAAATTTTTCCAGTAACATATCAGAAAATGTTTCACTGCTATTCATAAGGTTTTTAGTAGCCATTTTTTAAAGAAATGGATGGTCCCACCCTTCTTCTAACGCACTGCTGTCGAGTCCAATCTGACTCATAGCAACCCCTCCTTGGGTTTCCAAGGCAGTATCACTTACAGAAGTAGGTTGCCCAACCTTCCTTCTGAGGAGAAGCTGGTAGTTTGAACCACCAGCCTTCTGGTTAGCGTTCAAATGCCTTAGGCACTATGCCACCAGAGCTGCCACCCTTCTTCTAGTCTATCTTAATCTGAAAGCTCTGCTGAAACCTATTCATCATGGGTGAGCCTGCTGGTATTTGAAAGACTGGTGGCACAGCTTTAAGCATCACAGCAACATGTAAGCCAGCACAGTACAACAAACCGACTGATGAGTGGTGGCAGATGGCATCATCATCAGTTGGCAGTAAACACAAAAAGCAGGATAACAGCTTCTGACTAAACACCAGAGGCAGAAACTGTAGGTGGGCACTATATGTTCCACAGACCATCAAAGTGTTAAAGTCCAAACTCTTGCTAGTGTCTACCTTCAATGACCAGAAAGCCTTGATTATATATAATTTTAAAAAGGAATAAACAGATCTGGTATAATCCATGAACCCAGTGGTAATAATAATTAACATAACTAATATGCTTTACTGTACACAAGTATCCCTCACTTTTGGAAAGTTTGTTTTACATGAATTCACTTTTATGAATAAACTACATTAGTACTTGTAACCAAAATAAATCCAAAGAGGATTTTTGCTTTTGTGAAAAAAAAGGTAAAAAGAAAAACTAGCATGCAGTATTCGTTTTGCAGCAAACTGTTAAAGAGGCAGAGAACATCCCGAGCACCGAGAGTGGCACTGCACATACTTTATTTCCACTGTATATAGACTGTGTATTTATCATATCACCATTGTTTTCACTATATGTCATTGTTATTTCAGGATTTATGTGTTATTTGGTGTGCTTTGGTAGGCTATTCTTTGGATCTAGAAATATTCAAAAAAAAATTTCCTATGTAAATAAATTAATAGTAATTGCTTGTTTGCTTTATGCCATTTCAGCTTATGAAAGGTTTCATAAGAATATTCTACTTTCAGATGGCAGGGAAACTGTGTAGCTTACGTCAGGAACTAGAGTAGGCACTTTGCATGCGTTGTCTTCCCACTTCCTCTCTGTAGTTACCTCTTTCCTGTGTCCTTCCCTCCTGTGCACTTCTGCCCCACCCCATTCCCCAGCTGTCTCCTTGTGCATATTTGCCTTAGTTTTGCAAGGGAGAAATCTTCAGACTATTCTGATTTACAAATTCCTGGATAACACCAGTCCCCGTCAGGCCATATATGTTCTTGGGAGACTTTCTATCACTCATTATCCCCATTTTCTTAGCCGCTGGCCCCTTGCTCCTTTAGTCCTGCCCCAGTCAGAAATTTGTCCACATGGAACCCAATACTGACTGAGTGAACAGGACCTCTTCTTAACTTACTTGCATGCCAACTTACGGCACAAAATTGATTTTCCAGAAATCTCATGTAGTTGGGTGGTGCAAGGGAAAGGATATTGAAAGAGAGGCAGAAGGAAATGTGTCCTTTGCCATATATAAACTACAAAAGAGCCACCAGTAATTTGAGAAATAACTTTGGACCATCTCTGTAACAATCTTCCTTATAGTTGTAGAAGCTGTTATGTTACATGTTTTCATAGTTTGCATTCTGACATTTTCTTTTAAATGCTTGTTTAAACTGTTTGAGGGCTGGGGCCAACCCTTCAGTTTCTAACCTGCCTGTAGCTGTTTTGCAAACATTTAACCAGTGACAACCTAGTTACTCTGAGGGATGGCAGGTGAGTCCAGCCACAAAAGTGGCTTTAACAGGAAATACTCTCGGCCTTCTGTCTAACCTTATTATTTGTCATTGCAGCTCGTTGCCTACTGGGAAAAGACTTTCAAGATTGACCTGTTCAGGCCACAGATTGGGGTGGTGAATGTGACAGATGTGAGTATCCCCTATGAAAGTTTGCTAGGGCACCCTCAGCCTGCTCTGTTTTCTGCCAGGTACCCTAAACTGTGAGATCATGTAGATAGAAGAATTCAGCCCTTTACAATACCAGCAAGACCCTTGGCCTGCCTGAGCTTGGAAAATTGCAAGTGTGGCCCATGTTTGGTCTCTGTGCCAGTCCCCATCTGGTTTCCTGTACACCATTCCTTACTTATCTGGACAGCTCCACCTGTCTCACTATTTGGAATTTTCCACCCAAGTAAATGTTCCTGGAGCTGCCATTACACAATGGGACCTGGGGTCATTTGTGGCTCAGAAGCCCACATAGATAACCACCCAACAGCCAGGACACCAGGCAGGAGAGCAGACCTACAGAAAGGGATAGAATTTTGTGGGAGTCAGGGCAGGGGCATTTGCCCCACCATTCAGGCACCAGTGAACTGACAGTGGGAAACATTAGTGAGGTGTGCTGGCAAAGCATGAGGAACTGTAGACTTCAATTCCTACATCTGATCCAGCTCCATAATAATATAGGAGCATAACAGATACAACCAGGCAAATGATGGACAGAAAGTGATGATCACAGAGGATCCAGTACAGCCATAATAAATTGTGATGGACTCTCTTGTGATGGGGGCCAGTGAGCATTATCCTTTGCCCTCTTAGTAGGTACTTAGTCACCTAAGGACTCTCCATTCATTTATTTTGTAAACCATTTTCTCAATTAGTAGTAAGAATAACAACAAAATTTGCTCGAGATAAAATATTTTAAAACAGAGCTGTACGATATAAGATGAAAAGGAAAATTACTTCACACTGTCCTGATGCCGTTCAAAGTTCCATTCCCTGAGGGAACCATTGTGGCAGTTTCATGGGTATCTTACCAGAAATTTCATATAGGTACAATGGAATACACATTTCCTTTTATATTGCACAAACAGGATACTACACATACCATTTTGCAACTTGACATTTCCATTTAACAATGTACCTGCATTCCCAATAAATGTAAGGGACTCAGGACCCTCTCACCACAGCTCTTCAGAGCCCTCTGCTTTGGCTCATGCTTCACACACTCATTCACTCATTCATTCTGTCCCTCCCTGCAGGCTGACAGTGTCTGGATGGATATTCCAGATGACGATGACCTGCCCACAGCTGAGGATCTGGAAGACTGGATTGAGGATGTGCTTTCTGGGAAGATAAACACTGAAGATGATGATAATGAAGATGAAGATGATGAAGATGATGATGACAACAATGATGATGACGATGATGACAATAATTATGATGAAGATGATGATGACAGTGATGATGATGATGAGTAGCCCTAACTCCAAATGATTCTGATGAAAACACAATCACAGCTATCCACTATCATACAGACAGCAAAAGGTGGCAGCAGGCAGCCATGCCCCACACTCAGCCAGCTCCTTTCTCTTCTCCAGTATCTTCTTTCCCACTCTCTTGTCATCAGGAGCAGTACAGTTCAGCAGATAATGCCTTGCTAAATGCAACAATCACACTCAGCAGAAGCTGGAAAGGAATTACTCCCATGTTGACTGTCTTCACTGCCATGAACCAGCTCTTGTTCTTTGCCAGATCATCAAGGGTCATGGCAGTACTGGAGTCTGGCAGTCTGGGGAGAAGAGTGCCCTAACAGTTTTACTCAAGTTTACTTGTTTCTATGACAGTAACAGAATTGACAGCTCACTAACTCACATGTATGTGTGACCAGAGCCCAGGGAAGAAACACAATTAATCCATTTAGCACCCCTATCTAGAATATCAGTTAGGGTCTCATCTCAAGCCAAGAGCTGGGATCTGGACCTTCTGTTCTTGCTAGTGAGCCTTCCCATTCAGAGTAAAAGTTGATTTATCCAGAAGTCAATTAGCTCTCCATTTACCAGCACTCCCACAGTTGACCAGTGCAACAATAATTGTAATTCATAATGATGCCCTGAGGCACTGGAAAAAAAAAAAAAAAAAACTCCCAAAGTGCCTTCTGAACTGTCATTAGAGTTATACTGTGCTCAGTAGTTTTAGTGCAAAGTGTGTATTATAATGGTCTAATTTATTCTCTCATTCTTTTAACACATGTGTAAGACACCGTGCAAATTCTTTGAATATAGGGCAATCCTTTTATGGAATAGTAGCTAACTAACTCTACCATTAAACTCTTTATTTTGAAAACACTGATACTCTTGAAACTCTTATCTCAATTCTCATCCTGCTCATTCAGATATCCTGGCTCCTGTCCTTTCTGATTGTTCCTTCTGTTTTCCCTCTGACTCCTCTTCCTTTCCCTGCCCTTGAACTGTTGGCATGTCAGTTTTCCTTTCAACTCTTTTCACACTTCTAAGACACTATCAAGGAGCTCTGGTAGCATAGTGCCTAAGGCACTTGACTGCTAACCAGAAGGCTGGCGGTTCAAACCCACCAGCCACTCCTCGGAAGGAAGGTTGGGCATTCCTACTTCCGTAGTGATACTGCCTCGGAAACCCAAGGAGGGGTCACTATGAGTCGGGGCCGACTCGATGGCAAATAACAACAACAACAACAAGACACTATCATACCTTCAGGTAATCTAAGCAATTATATAGATAATGATATCACTCATCCAAACTGGGACTCCATGAAGAGGAAAAGAATGAGTTTAGGGAAAAAGGTAATGAGTTTGGGTTTTGTACTGAGTTAGAATTGCTTGTGCAATATGCAAGCCATGATGTCCAGAGGCAATAGAAAGAAGATGTCTAAAACTGAGATGTCAAGATCATTGTTGTTGTTGTTACATGCCGTCAAGTCAGACCCGACTCATAGTGACCCCTCCTTGGGTTTCCGAGGCAGTATCACTATGGAAGTAGATTGCCCAACCTTCCTTCTGAGGAGTGGCCGGTGGGTTTGAACTGCCAGCCTTCTGGTTAGCAGTCAAGTGCCTTAGGCACTACGCTACCAGAGCTCCTCTGTCAAGATTAGAGACTGGATTTCATCCTTGACATCTCTCCTCAGTTTTAGACATCTTCATTCAATTGTCTCTGGACACCATGGCTTGCATATTGCACAAGCAATTCTAACTCAATACAAAACCCAAACCCATTACCTTTTCCCCTAAACTCATTCTTTTCCTCTTCATGGAGTCCAGTTTGGATGAGTGATATCATTATCTATCCAGTTGCCTAGGTTACCTGAAGGTAGCCCTTTCACCTCTGCTCCCATGGCATTTTGTGCATATCCTGAATTGTGGCATTTATCATTTTAATTGTAACATATATATGCATGCCTTTCACTAAACTGTAGGCTCCTTGGAGGCAAGATATTTATCTTTGTATCCCCAGCACATAGCACTTTGCCCAGAAAAAATTACTCATTTATTGAGTATGTATGGCTGTAGATGGATGAACAGTTGATTAACCAGAATATAACTCTTCTGCACTAACAGGCATCAGAGCTGACAGTCCTTCCTCATTCATTTCTCCCCCCATCTCACAAAACAAGGCAGACGCTTCCAAAGCTTGGCTGTGTTGCCAGCAAGCCAGGCCCAGCTGCACCTTAGATAAGCTCTTAACCAAAAACAAACTCACTGCCATCAGTTCCAAATCATAGTGACTCCATGGGGCATAGCAGATCTGCCCATCGTTTCTAAGGTTATAATCCTTATGGAAGTATATTGCATTACCTTTTCCCTACAGAGTGACTGGTGGATTTGAACTATGAATCTTTTGGTTAGCACCCGAATGCCTTAACCACAGTGCCACAGTGCCTTAAGCTCTTTGGGAAGTACATTTTCAAAGTAATCTTGAAACTAATCTTACAAATAGCCAAGGAATGTGGTCCATCATGAAAGTGAGAACATTCCCTCATTCTCAGCGGTCTCAGTAACAATGCACTATGTCTAAATCACACTGTGGTGCTTCTGTTAGAAGCAGAACTTCGAATAGGTTCAAACCCATTCAGTCATGGGTAAAGAAGTAAAATCAGAACAGACACAAGTTTGTAAAATTGGGTGAAGTGTGTATGATAATCAGAAAGTGCAAAATTATAGGTGGAAGCCCTGGAATGGGTGACTTGGAGCAGGCATAGTGACTCTTTTCAGGAGCCTGTTGCAGGAGAGTGGATTATTGCCAGGACTGTGAAACTGACACACATTCAAAGTAGTCCGGCCAGCCACCAGCTTTGAGTGGGCACTCTGTTGCTATGTAACTCACCTGTTGCCCTTGTTTTCTAAGAGGGTGTGGACCCAATTTTTCCTGTTCTAGTTACAGTACCAGTTCACCCACATTTTACAAATTTGGGTCCATTCTGGTTTTGCTTCATCAGCCATGACTGAACTGGGAAAAACCAGTTTGAAGCCCTGTTTAGAAGGACTGAATGTTAAATTGGTACTGTCTCTAAGTAGCAGCACTGCTTAGTTAATAATCTAAAACATTATTTATGGAGCATTTGTTACATGTCTAGAGCAATGGACTACATGCTTTACATATATCATTTAATCCTCACAGTGGTCTTAGGAGTTGGGTCTTGTTATTATCTTCATTTTACAGATGAGGAAACTGAGCAAGACACCAAAGGATCAAATAATTTTCCTAGGGTCACACAAGTTTTAGAGCCTAAGAATTTAATTTTTAGTAATCTACTCATTTAAAAAGGAGCTCTGTTAGCATAGCAGGTAAGGCATTTGGATGCTAACCAGGTTAGTGGTTCAAACCCACCAGCTGTTCTGTGGGTCTGATGAGGCAATCTACTTCCATAAAGTCTTAGAAACCCAATGGCAGTCACTATGAGTCAGAATCGATTCAATGGCAGTGGTTTCATTTGGGTTATTCATTTAAGACAAGTCTCTTGACTACAAAATGATTGACAACAAAGTAATTTTTTGTTACAATGGCAATAATACTTTCCCATGCAACTATCATGACAATTGTCTTGGTTTTTATAGATACTTGACAGATTACCTTGAAGAGGTATTATGCAAGAGTAAAAATACTTCCTAAAAGGTAAATAATTTTTCAGATTAAAATAATCACGCTAAAAAAGGATACAGTATTTGATTTGGGATCTCAGTTTATTTTCCATCCTTTATAGTATAAAAAACATAAAGTGTGAAATGTTTTACATTAGTTGAGATAGGGGAGGGTTATAACTGGAGGACTGAAAAGTAAACACAATAACTTGGATGCAGATCTACTGTATGTCCATCACAGAAGCTAACATCTAATGATGTTATAGTGAAGAGGTTCATAGCATAAACCTTATGACTGTTAAGTGAACATACTTGTGCAGATGGTTGCCAGTCATGTAATTCATTCATTTGCATGTTTTAAAATGTCTCCATGGAGCCCATCACCCATTTTATGCAGGACATCACACTCAGGCTTTGCCATACACATACAGTGATCATGAGTGGAGGCTGGTTAGCACAACTCCTCCTCCTGGTTACCAAGTACAGTATTAACTAATTAGAGAGAACATAAAATTCCTGGCCACATATTTACATAAATAGTTACGACTTCATCAGATAGAGACACATGACTTCATTGTTGAAATTTTTATGGTTGAAGCTGGATTCTAAAGCCCAAATATAAAATCCTTCCAACACAAAACAATCGTCAAATAAACTTCTCCAAACAAGACCTGGCCCAGGCCCCTCTGGCTCACTCCCTAGCATCTTTTTTGAGGAAGTGGTCCATCCCCAATGCAAGTTGAGTTCACCACCACACCAAGTCAGTATGCATCCACTCCCCACCCCTACCCTTCCTAGTGTAGCACTGGGACAACTGCTCTTCACTCTAGGCAATAGTTACACTTATCAACAATTGCCTGGAAATCAAATTTGGTTCATCATAAAGTTTAGGAGCCCCAGAAAAGACTGTCATTTAATGGAACCCTACAGTAAATCCATTATAAAAATAAATTATCTATGTTTCAGTTTTCTAATGCTCCTTAAAAAAAAAAAAAAAAAACTATGATCAACATTAAGTGAACAGTCCATTACTCCTATAAAAGTGGGGTGTTGGTAGGTGAAAAGCAATTGCCATCTCTTCCCACTTGGTCCCTAGAATAGCATGTGCAACTATTCTAAGCTCCCTATCATCATGAATTGACCTAACCTTGTCACATGCAGATCAGATGCCCCAAGTCCCATTACTAGTTCCCTGAGTAATGGTTTCTGGTCCTCAGAGATGAGTGAAGTTTTGATATGCTAAAGGACATACAAAACCAGAAAATTGCATATTAAATTATTTATCTACATATTATTTCAGTCCTAAAGATACTCTTAAAAGTCCTAGGGTTTATCACATTTATCCTCAAGGCTTAAGACTGAAGTGTT